GAGCCATAGCTGAGATCAGTCCCAGCATACATAAGCTGCCATGAGATCAAGACGTATCCCTCAAACAGTCCATAGAAACCTTCAGTGGCACCAATTTCACTGTAAAATATTTGCATGTTTTCAATTAGAACTTCACCCAGGCAGGCCCACGAGGCTCTTCGCAATACTGAGGCTGTGTGTAAGGGATGCGTTATATCCTGCTCCTAAGCATTGCCTGGTGGGCTGGGAAAACACTGGGATCTCAAGAGTTAAGGGCTGTGGGGCTGGGAATGAATTGACATCTTCCATCTTTGTATGATCTCAGGTGGATACTTTATTTTCTTGTCTGAGGAGGTTTATTTTCCTCCAGATTGATTGGATGAATTGTGTTCCCAGAGATCAGAGAGTTCAGATGGCAGAGGATCCTCTTACCAGAAGATGAAAGCCAATATAATCAACTGCACAACTTCAAAACATGCAGCTTGTTCTTGTTGGCTGTGCCTAAGTTTTCCCTGCAGAGAAGCTGTCGACAATGATTTGATATCAATCCAGTAACAATCCCTGGTTTCTAATAATAATTTGCACTTCAGTAGAAATGCTCATGTGAGGCTCTGAGAACATTTAGCAGATGGTCATTAGTGAAGCTCCCCAGTTCTCCTGCAAGGAAGAGATAACAATTATTAGCCTTGTTTTACAGATGGTGACACTGAGGTGAGGCCCTGGAAGGTGAAATAACTCTCCTGGTTTTCCATAATGAGCCAGTGGCAACAGATCTATGAATGAAACCCAGGCATCCTGCTGCGATTACTCCACAAACCCTATATCCTTATCTCTTACAGGAAAACGTGGTCAAAGAGGTGAGCCTGGAAAGCAAAAAGCAAACGGTTCAAAGGCAGGATTCATGACACATTTCTGGAAATAAGGAATTAGGTCTGGGTCAATAAATAACTGGAAAACCAGGGGGACGCAATCTGAGAGGCATGTGAAATGAGGATGGATGGAAAAGAAAGAAGATAATGGAAGGGAGGGGAAGGAAAACAGAGTAGTTCTGACTGTTTATTTCCACTCTTGGTTTCAATCAGTGTTGTAAAATTAAAGGTTAGGGCTCTGAAAGAAAGAAGAAAGCGAGCTCCATGTACTCCCATGGGGTATGGCTGATGGGTGAGGCTTCAAAGGCGGATGGCTGATAACACAACCCTCCTCCTCACGTGTCCAGTGGTACATCACCCTGCATCCAGGGACATCAGCCATGTGCTGGGTACCACAGAGACCTGCCTCTCCCTGGGCAGGGCAGGGAAACAGGGCTGGAGCTCTTGGGAATGTCATCGGTATCCGCACGCTATCAACCACCAAGAACTCCAGGTGCTGACTGGGATGGAGAGCATTCCTACTGCTTCCCAGAGCCGGCAGGAGGTCAGCCACCGAGCTGGAGGTGTGTGGATGGGCGCTTCAGGGACTAATTTTAGCTTTCACTTACACTGTCTACTCCTTTCTCACCCAGAACGTCTGGGCTGCTAATAGTGATGGACTGGCTGATGCTACAAACCACCCCGCTAACATCACACATGCGACGAGGGGAACGCAGCCCAGCTAAGCTGGCCCAGCGGCGGAGTTTATAAAACAGCCAAATGGAAGCCAAAAGACTCGAGTTTAATCCCTCCAGTTAAGTCATCTAGATTCCTTCTCGCCACCAGCCATCTGATCTCAATCAACAAATCCTGGCCTTCGTCTCCCAACCTAGCCGAGAGTTGCAATGCTGAGGCCTGAAGTAATCCGCATGCAAAATGCTTTAATAACGATTCCTTCAAGAGGGAAATTTATTATTATTATTATTAATATTATTATTTCCCAAAAGCACTTTAATGTGAAAGTGGTAGGCAAACAAGAGAGGTGTCTTACTTGTTTGCCATGAATAATTTGTTAACATTCTGTAACGGTCTTTCATTTCATTTTAATACCTGTAGTTAATAGAAGCATATTGAAAGAGACCTATTAACGTGAATACCAATCATTGGGTATTAAAATGGGATGCTTTTTTAGGACTGAAAACACTTCCAATTTGGCTGCTCCTCTCATAACATTAGTAGGAATTGGCAAGCAAATGAAACAGAATTAAACAGCTGTATTTTTAACATTGGTAAACTACATCACCCCCTAGATGCAGTGTATTCTTTGCAATGCATTGCTTTCAGCATCTGCCATGCACTTTCTGCACCAGAGAGCCAGAACTGTAACCAAAAGGGCATTGGAGTGCTAATATGTGGCTTTGTACCAGGAAACACCAGGGTAATTTGAGAGAGCAGAAGTGATGTCTGCGCTGGCAAGATCAAAGAGGTAGTTTGAAAAGCCATATCCATGAACACATACATGGCTGCTGCTATTGCAGGTGCTCCTGAGGGGCAGAAAGCTTGCGGGGCTGGCATGGAAATTGGGATTGGGGTTTTGGAGTGCTTCATTAGGCATATTTGCATTTTGGAAGCAAATAAGCGCCGCGCACACAGCAGGGATCCTAAATGAGAGGAGGAAAGAGAAGACCAAGGAAGGGAGCACTGTGTTGCAGTGGCTGGGCTAACTAATGATAGTGATTTTCATGATACAGAGAAGCTCATTGCAAAGAAGCGTGTGTGTCATCTCAGATGCTCTTATCCATGCCTATTTTATCAAATCTAATTGCCAAGTTTCCTGTGCCTTGTCACAGCCACAAGGGAATCACACAACAGTGGAGCCAACCTGCAGAGCAAGAGCTGTATTTGAACAGGTACAGTGTGTGACCTGGAAGAAAACCCTGCAGTTTCCCCAGACCCTTGAGCCATGTTCCTGAACAATGTCACCATGGAGAGGTATGAGGAAAATGTCATTTGTCAGGCCAAAGTCAGAAATCAAAGTTGAGTTCTAGATATTCAAGGCTATCTTTAGCAAGAAGAGTTGTGAAACACATCTCTCTCCCATTTTATAATCTCTAACGGCTGCAAATTGTTTATCCCTTGGCATTTGATTTCTCCTTATTATCTCCAATTTCAACAACCACCACAGATACAGGAAACAAGGACATATTCAGTGGATGAGGCACTTTCCACAAGGGCAGGGATATTTTTCTCTCTGAGTGCTACTTGTTATGCCAGAGGATTGCTCTACAATCCTACACCTCCAGTGTGGGAAAGTAACTTGAAGAAGGACCATATAAAAGATGCACTTCAGGCTGGACATGCTTAAATGCTGTCTTATGCAGGACTGGAGTTCCTATTTAACTGTAAGGACCTCAACTTCCACTCTTCCTCACTGCAGTGTGAAGTTAGTGGTGATAACACAGGGCATTATTTCACTGTTTCCTTTTCTTCACACATGAAACACTATACAGCAGGCAGAAAGACAGAGGGAACAAGCTCTGCCATTTCACCAACTAAGGTAATTGCATTACAAAGCTCAGCACAGTTTACATTACTGTGCCATGCTCAATCAAACTCTACCCCAGAGGTGCACATGAACCTCCTGACTATTCTGGGGGTTGGCAACTGCTTCAGTCCTCTTACCCCTCTTTATTCAACTGTTAAATCTGGGGGCTTTTAAAACTGGTGGGAGGCTGAAGGCAGGGCCCGGCACATTGGAGATGACAACAAAAGAGGCTCCGCAGAATTGCTTTTGGCATCTCGTGTGCGTTCCGTCTACATCTTCTAAATTACTGCTGCACTTCAGCGATAAAAATAGGTTTGTATTTGGAATTGATTACAGGGAGATAAAGCCCTAATATAAAAATTACCGATGCATCAGCATTCTGAACATACAAGGGTAATTTGATTTGATCAAATGAAAGCATGGCTCTTAATTCCTTGCTTTCAAACAGAACACACATGCACTCACACAGGCACCCCATCGTGCAGATAAAACTTGGGCGGCTGTTTTGCTCAGGATTCCCAGAAATGGTGATGTGCCTCTTGCAGCTCTTCTCTACAGACGTTTTTATGGCAATCTCCGTATCACCGGCATTCCCATCACTGACACCGGGTAACATTCCCTTGCAATCTGAAAGCCTTCAGCTCCGGCCACTGCGCTTCTTGTGTGCCACAAACATCGATTCCTTTCCTGTGCCTTTAGAGGTTATTATATTAAACGGGCTATTTTTGTTTAGTCCATCCTTTAGTGCACCAGCTCTGCAACTTGTGCTTTTCAGCAGAGGGAGCTGATATATTGTTTTCGGCAATTCTAAGATAAATGGAAGCATAATTTTATTTACATGAGAAAGAGGGAAACAGCGATTCATGTTTCAATATGACCCCAACCAGGCATGCTTTACTCCAGCAAAATGCTATCTGACTTAGCCTAATAAATTAAGGGTGAAAATTGGCTTCGCATCATGACAAATGCACAACCTAATAGTTAACCTCTAAAGAAATGCAAGGCTTAATTGCAGATAATAGTGATGGGGATGGCAGTGGAATCTAGGGTTGGATCCAGGACCTGGGGAAAGACAGAGAGAAGCAGCACATCTGTTTTCCAGCCTGAGAGCTCAGGCGCTGATGGCTGCACAAACCCCACTGGCTCACTTTGGCCACATCATTGCAAGGTGCTGAGTGATCCAGGTGCTTCCAGCCCCAATGGGATATGTTGGTATCAGTCCCGCACCCTGAGGCCATGCTGTGCATGGACCCTGTGTCCACTTACAGCCCCACATCCATGGTGGAACGTGGCTTTTTGGGGAGGGGAGAAGGAACCCAGCGGCTCTGGTCACCCCAGAGCCCTTCCAGAGCCATGCAGGAGCTGGTGCTTTGATGTGGGCTGGATGGGATGTGGCTGAGTCTGCCCTCACCAGCCAATGTGCAGTAACTAAAACCAATTGCACAAAGACTGACAATTACTTCTGTGGAGCAGCTTGAGCACTCTGAGCTTTCCCCAACGTTCGATCAGCTGCTATGAGGAAGGCGAGCCTCAAAACCCTTCCATATGACCAGCGAAAGCAGCACAAAGCGCATCCCCAACAACCGGTTGTACTTCCATTGGTTAAACACACGTAGGCTGAGAGCACGTTACTTTTAAATTCATTTATTTACTTTTGTGTACATTTTCCTTAATTTGACTGACATACCATCGCTATAAAGATGCCCTGCTCTTTGAATATTGAATCCAAGACCACTAGTTCAAGTGTGGTTATGAAAAGTCACGGCAAACATATGACTGGAAAGAGGTGGTTGGTTTTGACTTCCAGGCAGTTGTTTGAAGCGTTTCATAGATGCACACAATATCCAGCAGAACACACGCACACACAGTGCTGAGTTTAAACACACACACACGCGCACACACACACGCACATCTGGAAAACGGTTACAGTGGTTGAAGTTTCCAAAAGGTGTACTGTCCCCTCCTCTCAGCAGCACTGATAAACCTTTGCATATCCTGAGAAATAAAACTGAAGTGTAGGAAAGATAACCTATTCCATCGGCACGATTTGGGGCTTTTTTTCAAGTTAAATATATTCTCCCAATCTAATCTCTTCATTCAAATGAAGAGGGTGGAGGGGAAGGATGTAAGGCAGTCGGGGTTAAAGAATACCAGTTCCGTTGTTCCACCAATATCCTTAATCCAGCACCACACGGGTCCTAAAAGCATCTCATTAACACAACAGCATCAAATAAAAGCCTATCTAATGTCACGCACGTGGTCTCACTGTCAGTCTCCTACTATCTATCACCTTCATGGTATGAGGAACAGCTCTGAGATGAATGAAGACAACACAGGTTATGAGAAGGGTTTCAGACAGGGCAGATGCAATGCTATATGGGTGGGCAGCTGGGAGACCACCGAGGTACTCTGGAGTGCATGGAGGACCCTGTGAGCTTTGTAACATCTGACTGACAGAATTTCCCCGGCTGCAGACAGGAATAGGAGCTCAGAGCCATGCTCATGCATGGGCAGTGTTGCCTTTTGGCCACTGGCTTTGCACTGCTAAAAGCCTGGGCAAAGCCTGAGGGGACCTTAACCAGCACTGATAAGAACCTGGGTGCCATCTCACAGAGGTGACAGCACCTCATTTCTTCCAATATACCACTAGTACATGCTCACAAGAACCAGTCAAGGCAGGGAGAGTCTTTCCCAAAGCTATTTCTGGACCAATCCATCAAAGCTGTGATTTTGGGTCTTGTGTAGGCTGTGGGCAGCTTTGATTCTGATGAGGACAAAGCGTCCTCAACAGGGCTAAAAACTGGAAAATGCTCATATTGCATTGTGCTGCCTTTTACCCTAACGCTCCCTTTTTGGTTCCTCCCATGGATGTGAACACCAGTGCTCTTCCCGGTGAGCTCCCCAGTGCCATGCGCTCCCTCGCTGCCAGAGGGGTTGTGTGAGGTTACAGGCTGCTAAGTAGCAACAGAGGAAACAGGCCAGCAAAGACTTAAGACAACAAAAACAAACACGAAGCAATTAAAAGAAGGATGGGAGATGTGGTCTGGTGTCCTTCTGCCAAGAAATAAACATTTTACATTGCCTTTTTCTTGTAAAAACACTTGCTTTGTGTGTTTTACATCTCCAAAATGGTAGACTCGCTGCACCCACCCATGCACAGCACGTGCACCCACACACACACGCATGCATACACACTAATGCACACACGTTTCCAGCTTTGTGGAGCTACTGGATTTACTTTGAGACAAGTTTCTTGTGCATTTTGACAACTTACTTTGAGACAAGTTATTTGCAAGAAGGCAAAGTTCATGCATGGCTTTGACAGCTCCACTTTCTCATAAATGGTTTTTGAAAAGCTGAAAGCAAACGAGGGCCAAAGCTCCATTTAAAGTTCACCTCAGATGCCTGAAAAGCATTTATACCCACATCCTTCTGAGGTCCCTGCTTTATGAACTTCTAATGAATTCCACATTCTGCTACCCAACGTTTCTTATACATAGGGGGAAGAAAAAACAAACCAGAAAACCAATGCAAGCTGTTTGAAAACAGATGCACCACAGCAGCCAGGCTGCCCAGGAAAGTGGTTGAGTCACCATCCCTGGGGGTGTTTAAAAGACGTGTAGATGTGGCACTTAGGGACATGGTTTAGTGGTGGGCTTGGCAGTGCTGGGTGAATGGTTGGACTCGATGATCTTAGAGGTCTTTTCCAACCTAAAGGGTCTTATAACTCTGATTCTTTGTCAGAAAGGCCGGGGTGGCTTTTGAAGCAGCAGAGCAGCAAGGCACCTTTGCAAAGAGGAGAAAAAGGACAAAAAGCTGATGGTTTTGAGCTCCAATCCTGCTTGTCTCATACAGGTCACACTTACAGGATTTCACCTCGATATCTCTTACAGAGCAAGAAGAAACCATTCATTAGTTGCTCCACCATTTGTGTAGGATTCGTGCCCTTCATACCCAAAGCAGACGTGGTCAGAGGGTGCCTGGGTAACCCTCAGCCCTGCTTTAAAGCAGTCCTGGCAACCCAGGTCTCACTGGCTCAAGGTATAGAGGAAAGCTCCATGCAGTTTGATACAGAAAAGCCTGGCATGAGACTTGGACAAACCAAGTTTGTCATAACCCAGATTTAACTTTTCAGGTGGGAAATAACTGTTTTCTCAGCATTCTGGTGCACTTTTGGTTAATGGTCTTGTGACAGCATTTTCACCACTGAAACTGAACCCTGATGCTAGTCAACCCCCCCTTGAAGGAACAACTACAACCCAACTGATGCTTTTCCTATTAAAAACAAGGGCGAGGAGGGTCATTCAGAAACCTCCAAGATACTTAAAAGAAAAACTTGAAGCCACGGTTTTTAAAAGGATTCCTCATCCCTAATTCTAGGGCAAATCAGGTCACTAAAAAACCCCATCTAAATTGCTATAAATATGATTTAAAATAAGAATTAGCCATCTACTGCCATTCACCATCCCAGCCGTTAGAGGAGACAATACAGTGATTCCATATGGCTCAAAGGCAGGCTGGGAGATACCTTCAACACACCTTGGAGAGTACAAGAAATGGATCAATAATAAGTAATTGGAACAGGAGAAGGAAAAATCAGCCTTCCACGTGTAAGGAAAAACAGAAACTTTCACAGTTATAAAACAAATGACGTTACTGTAAAAAAGTCCTAAAACTAAAGTAAAACAAGGACTTGCATTACAGCAGGTTGGAAAACCTTTCTAACATATTCAAAAGCCATGGGTGCTTTGCCTGTGTCCTCTTCAACACCAGCAGACCATTGGGAAGTGGTTCCTTTTCCATTGTTCCTTTCCCATTGTCCTTTCCCATCTCTTCCATTATTTCTAGCTGACAGTGTTCAGAAACACCCTGTTTCAAATTTACCACCATCTCAAGAGAAACCAGATTTCACACCTTCAGGGAGAAGCTCCAGAAATTTCATCTATTTCGACGCTAAACGGGGATCTTTGCCAATAAAATGGCAATTCCCGAAATTGAAGATTTCTGACATTTTTAGACAGTTATTTCTTTTTCCATGAGAAACAACAAGTTTCACTCCAACACATTTCCAGTGTGCGCGAGACTACATTTAGCCGCTGACTCCCAATATATTGCTGTTAAAAAATCAATGGGAAATTCCAACCATTTCATCTGTTGTGACTATTTCCAGCAGCCCCACTGGCACGGTGACAACTGTGCCACTCGCTTCACACAGGGGAAACAGAACAGTGGCAGAGCTCTGGAAATTCACTTCATACATAGATTATAGAGGAAATGTTTGGAGCCAAACCCTGGTTTTGGTGATCCTGTGTTTTGAACCAGGCTTTTTCCTGCCTGTAGAGCCAGAAGGCTACCAAACAGCATGGCCCATATTAGATATTTAGGCTCATATTAGATATTTAGGCCCATATTAGATACTCATGCCAGACTTACAACTAAATCTGGGCTAAATGTGGCTGGAGAGCTCTGCAGCTGCACCTGTCTATGTGAGAATTAGATCCTGACTTCACAGCTATGGCAGCGACTGTAATTCATCTTTAAACACACCTTTTTGGCTCTTATGAGGCACTTAATCTGTGTCTCTTTACTCGGGCTGCATAAATCAAGGACACCTGGCTTTTCCTGACTTTTCACAGTATCCATCCTGAAAGAATCCATGCATCTGAGCTGAGGAATACCAAAGGCTTTCAGATATTGTTCCAGGACAATTTGAGATGCCTGAATGTTCTTTATGGAGGGGGGAAAAAACCCAAGACGTGGCAGACTGATATCTCCATCACACAAACCCGGGGGAATTGTCTCTACCTATGTTTTGGAGGCCCTGGCTATGCTGGCTGCCAGACTGCTCTTTCCAGCCATCAGACAGACGTTGGCTGCCTCTTACTGTAGCACTTATCTCCATCCACCTTCTGGCACAGTTTGGTGCATGCCCTTGCGTGACGGGTCGCAGTGTTCTGGAAAGACCATGGTTTGATCTCTTTATTTCCTACAAAGGAGTAATTATCTGGGGTAAAACCAGACTAAATTAGGATAAACCCTGAGCTGGCCTGAACGATTCCTGTAAGAGAAACCAAACAGGAACATTCCTCATTGATCCAGTAATACTCGGGGTGTGTTTCCCCTCTTTATTCAAAAATTACACTATTCCGAGTTTCCTGGATTTAGCTAGGCCCAAAAGCAAAGTCCCAGCTCAAAATACCCTGAAATAAACTTCTAGGAAGGGTTTTCAGGTCTGGCTAAAACCATAAGAGCTTTGGAAGTTGCCGAAAGACGTCTGATCTTTTGCGATTTCCATCCCTATTTCCAGAGCGCTGAAGACGCTTCCAAGCTTTTCCCAGCTTATCCTCACAGCACCTCGCAGCCGCTGGACTTTTGCCCCATCGTAGAGAAAGCAAAGAGCCTTTCGAGGAAGATAATGCAGCCTGTCCTTGCAGCCTGGCTGCAAATCCAGAGCTGCTCCCCTTCCAAAAAGGGATTTTTAATGCTGTATAGAAAGGAGAAGCTCTCGCTTGGGCTGGATACCTGCAGGACAGCTCGTCCCTGGATGTGGCTTCCCATTAAGCAGGCACTGGATATCAGACAAGCAGCTCCTTCCTGTCCCAAAGCGCTCTGCAGAGCTGGCTGGAGGCCCCTTTCCCTTGCCTTCGCTCCGACCAACCGCCTAGAATAAAGGCTGCTAGTAAAATCCAGACATAAAACAGAACGTAAAGGTGACTGAGACGTAACGTGTCGATGGAGGCGAAGAGCTTTCGAGCAACCCAGGGGTGCACTAAAGGAGGCCATGTAATAAATGTCACACAGCCAGAATTGCTCCCCGTGGAACGTCACTGCCGGCTGGATAGACCCCTGAAGAATTCATTTATCCCTGTAGCCTGTAAATTAGGTATTTCCACCATTAGCCCAGTTAGAGACCACCTTAAAATGTTTACCTTCTTCTGTCTCAGCTATGGAGGCCTTTCCCATGCTTTCCCCATCGTTTAAGTCAGACCTCTGACTCCCACTGATGAGGGGAAGCAGCAACGCACAAGCCATGCAGCAGGCAGCAAGCATCAGTTCACTTCTAGCTTGTCCCTGTGGGTTTCTTTTGGGGTTTAGATTGTGTTTGTCTTGCTGGAAGTGGGGATGCAGCGGTAATCTGGGACTCGTGAGCAAAGCCATCGCCTACAGATCTGGGTCTCAAGGAGCACGTGGCAAGAATATTGCTCCATTGAGTCTTTGGGTGTCTCTTCTGCCCTCTCTTTCTGCTCCAGCCTTCCCAACTCCAGACCTTCCCTGGCAGAGTGGACTGACTCCAGCTGCCTGGCAGAGGGCTCATTCTGTCCTTATGACACTAAACCCACCCTTGCAGTTTTCTACGCTCTCTTCAGTCCTCTTCATTTATACAGCACACAGATCATTGTGTCCAGACCCCTGGCACCACCAGCTCCTCACTGTGTCTCTATGTATCTGCAAGCACATAAGAGCTGAGATTCAACTGAGCTTTTTCTGACCCTCTTATTAACAAATTCAACTGCTTCAACACTGTGGGGCTATGTGAAGGAGCAGCATCCTTTCCACCCGCAACATGGCTACTAACTGCAGAGAAAGCATCTCTTCCAAAGCCACAGTCCAGAAGAGTGAATCTCACTGCACTGCAGAGCTCTGGCCTGCCAGAGCGCACGTCAAATTCCATATTATCCATCTGCTCCAGTAAAGGCTGAGCTGAAATGTTAATTAGGAGATCCGATCCCTTCTCACTGGGAACAATCTGGATTTCATAGCTCAGGCAGAGGCCAGCGGAGCAGACAAAGCTCTGCGATACATCCTTTGCTGCCGGTTAAGGGCTTTCAAGGAAACAACCAACCTGGGGGGAGGACACAGGCTGCAAAACACATGGACATCTGGTCTGGTTTGTCCACCCTTCATCCCCCCCCACTCAGCCCCCACCTCCTAAGTGCATGTGCAGAACAGAGAGGGATGACTCCTCTAACATAAACAGCTATAATATGGCAATAAAGATTAATGAGTAAAACTTGCCATTTTATGTATAATCCGTGGGGATTTACAATCATTAATCTTTATTAGTGTGTAATAACTGTTTAGACATTAAGGACAGATTCTCAGCTGGACAAAACTGGCTTTATTCCAGCTAAGCCAATGGAGCAATGCCAGTTTACACCCTCCATGACCCTAGCTCTAAATGAGACCCATCCCCATCTGTAGGAATCATATCACTAACAGTCTTTCCCCAACAGCAGGGGCAGACCAGTGAAGGCAACTATTTGTCTTTCTCTGCATCCGAAAAAGAGAGCTGCATGTGTCCAGGAAGCTCAACAATAGACATGTCAATAAACATGAGGAAATTCAATGAAAAAGCAACAGCAACAAAAGGAATCCCAAGGAGCAGGGAAGTGGATGATTTTTGAGGCAAGACTATAAGATCTGGTTTGGCAGGAGCGTAACTAAGAGGAATGTAGCAATCTTTGGCATGTGAAAGAGTGAAAGCACCAAGACGGGCTCCCAGAGATCCTCTAAGAGGAACAAGATGGAAGAGGGAGAAAGAAAAAGAGCATCTTGGCTGGCTTTTCTGAGAGAGGAGTTTGGGGTTTGTTTTTAATAAAGAAGAGGCCTATTAAACAAGGGAGCTGGTGGGAACCTTGTCTGAACTACATTAGACCAGCCACCAAAGGAACGCTGTGTTGACCAACAAGGATTTCCTCTTCCAAAATGCCTAGGAAAGGAGGGAGATGTGCAGGTACATCCTTAGCTTGTAGCAAGAATGAAGAAATCCCAGTTAAGGTGTGCTTTTTCCAAGTAGTGACCCACCAACTGCCTCCTCCATCACACAGGGGAGGCCAGCTGCCTCCAGAAATGGCATTCCCACCTCTTTGCCAAGTCAGAAATGCCTCCTTCCTTGCCAGTAAACCTGACAAAAGTCAGGAAGTACAGTACATAGATACCTGTGTAAAGTTCTGTACACCTGGAGAACCTCCAGGAGAGATGGGCATTTCACCCACTGCAGCAGCACGGACCTGGCATTCAAAACCAGTAACTGGCAAATGCCCTCCAATGCCTCTTTCTGGTTTAAGAGACCAGTGGGCTCCAGAAAACAGCTTTCCTCCCAGTGACACTTCAAGAGCTCTAGGAATGGCAAGGCCTCAAGCATCAGGAGGTTGCAGGAGCATCAAGAGCTGTATGGTGGAGGAAGAAAGGATGAACATCATGTCCCGGTGGTCCCCCACTGCCTGCCACAGGGATGGGCTGAGCATCCCTCATGCAGCCCAATAACCACTGCTTGGGGCAGAACAGAGAGGTCCTCCTTGCCTTGCAAATGGCTCATTGGAATTCATCCATGTAGCTGGTCCAGGGCACAGCTTCGAGCAGCTTTTCTGTCCTCTCTGCTCCCTGGTGCATTTTTGGTTTGTTTCAGGTTTATGGCATGAGACCTGCTTCTTCTGCAGATTAAACATCCTGGTTCAGGACGATCTAAGACACAGTCTTGTGGTGTCCAAAACCAAAAGAGGTTTCTGAAGAACAGCTTTAAGTCTCAACACCTTGGCTGTTCAGGGGGCATTGTTGTTGGGAAAGGCTTCATGTCCCAGAAACAGGCCTGTCCTAGGCAACCCTGTGCTCATGTTACAGCCAAGCAAAGTCCTGAGCACCAGCCAAAGGCTTTCCATCTTCAGAGGTTACAATCAAATGAAAGAGAGGAGAGTCTGATTTTCATCTTGTAGCCCAGCATGTCTTCAGGGCTTTTAAGCACACAGGAGTCGCTGCCTCTCCTCCCTGTGCCGGGGCCACCAACTCAGGCTTCTCTCTACCCCGAGTCAGGCCAAGCTTTGTGTCCACATGTGCCACGAAGGATGCAGGACAGACAGGCAATCTCTGCACTTCTCTCCTGCCATAACTACCTTCCGCAGAGGTGATCACTGTTTTCATTCACACTGATCATACAGATTCATGCTTGCTCCAGGCTGACGCAGATGACTTTTAAAGGAACAAAGTCACGGAGAACCAGGAGGGAAGGGAAGTGATTTGTTGCATGCCCTATTGTAATGTCATTAAAACAAAGGGATTAGACGGCCCAAGCACTGAAAGAGCAAAAAGCATAAAAGCAAGCATTCAGCATGTAGTGTCGAGGCATGCAGGAGTCGTTTTAGAGGGTTACTTAGCTGCAGACAACACTGACATTAATTTTCTATTGGAAAACGCTGGTGACATTAATGTCTGCTATTAATACTGAACTTTGACAGCATCTCATAAATTCAACCTGTCAATTACAATGGCACTGAAATAAAGGTGCTCTGAGGTCAAGGAGATGCGGTGTCCAAATGAGACTTATATTCCAGGAGGAAAGCGGCAAAAACAGTCTTTAACAAAAGCATCAGATCCATATGTAGGAAAACCAAAGGGTGGTTTTAAATGTCATGTTTTTCAAAGCAAGAATTGATGCTGGAACCAACTCCATAAACTGCCTGGCTGGACTTTTAGCTGCAGCTGAGGACAATCAATCAAAACAGCTCTCTGAGAAAGCGAGAGAGAGAAAACACACACACATACCCCATGGAATACGAGAGGGCAGATCATGATCCATGTGAGGCCTCTGAAAATTACACTGCGAAGTAAAACATCCTTGGGTTTCACCCACCACAAACGTGACCTGAAAGGTTCCCCTCGACATGAAGTGGAATATGGAGCTTATCGTTACCGAGGGCCAGGCAGGCTCATGGCATGAGGCTGAGAAAGGGGAACCTCTTCCCCAAAGCCTGCACGACCCCTGACCTCTTTGCAGCAAGGAAACCTCTGCACTCTGATTCCTGCATTCCTCCTCAAGCCACCCTGCTCTGCAGCTGAAGGGCACAAGGATCAAGAAATCCCCATGAGCAGTGCTCCCATACATCCTTCGATGGCAGGCCCAGGGCAGAGCTGGACTATTTTAGGGTTCTCTCTGTGGGCGCTGCCAGCCCTGGCTGTGTTGTCTATATGCACCTCTTCAAAGTGGTCGATACATCCCTAGCACAGGAGGTACCACTGTCCAGGAACTCCTGCTCTAAATACTGCCCTCCCCATCACCCCTTTCAAGGCTTATGAAACAGATGATCAGACTATTCCAGAAGCCCAACGTGCACCAACAGAGACTGGAGCCACTAAACTGGGAGAGAAAGGGCTGGACCCCAGGCTGAACCACATCCTGCACAATGTAGATACTGCAGAGTAAGCCATGCTTCAAGGTGGGATTTGACTCTGAGAGTTGTGCCAAAGCGATGGATGGGGAAGAGAACCATGTGGCAGGGCATGAGGCACATGTGCACGCTCCAGTGCAGCCACACACACAGGCACTGTCCATGGGATGAGGGAAGGAGCCATGAGCAAAGGCAAAGGTCCTCATGGCTGAGTGAGGCAGCTATGCAGGTTTGGCTCAGTCAGTCTGTTAATCTGGAGCCCGTGGCTTTGCTCCAGACTCAGCAACACCTTGTGCATGGTTCTGCCTTTCTCTTGACAGTGATCGTGTTACCTAAAAGCAGCATGATCTGCCATCTTCCCCTCCCACCCCAACAGTCCCCAGGCTCCTGCCCATGCTAACAGCCCTTCCCTGAGGACCTGGACAACAGCACTGAGCTCCTGATAGGGTGGGCTGTGGTCTCCCTGCATGGTTTTCAGGCTGCAGCTCTATGGAGGACACTTGCAGCCCATGCTTCAGCCCCTGGCTGCCTTCAGCATCCCAACCAGAGCTGGACGTGGCCCAAGCCATGGGCCAGCACGGGCTCCAGGGGAGCTCAGTAGCACCCCCAAAGCCTGTGGGCAAGCACAGAGGGATTGTTGCTGACGTAGTGTGAGAGCCCTGGAAGCTCACACTGAGATATCCCATTTTTCACAGATGTTATGCTGTGCATACTGTTATCCCTTCTCATTTGGAGAAGGAGAGAGGAACTCCCTTCTAGGCTCAAAGCAGCTCATCCCCAGCCCAAGGGCACTGCAATGCTGCTGGGGTTGGTGGGGACCAACCACTGCAACCTCCTCTTCGTCTTCGTGCAACTCATCTGACAACCTAGTTTCCTCTGGGTTTTTGTCCCAGACACTATCCCAGCAATGTCTACACCTCATAACCTGCCCAGTATAGTGGGATAAGTTGGTGGAATGCAGGGCAGGGGCTTTCCCTTTGCAGGAGGCTGACAGTGCACCAAAGGATGGCTGGGATGCAGGAAGAGGCAACCTCACAGGATGCAGGGGCCTCCCTCCCTTACAGTGACGCTGTCTCACAGCTCGGGTAGCTGAGCTGAGATCCTTGTTTATAATCTTTTTTTATGATGCACATTAAATATTTTCCACAACACAGACACTTCTCTTCTTTCTCCTTTCCTTTGACACCTTTTCCGCAGCAAAGCCCTACAACTATCGCTTGCTGTGGCCTCATCATCATCGTCACCACGCATTCATCCTCATATAAAACAGAAATCTATTCCATCAAGCACTTAACATAAATATTAAAACAATGGAAGGGACAAAATATAAATCTAAATACAACTTCATGACTACCATAGCACCTATTACCATGACAAAGCAAATTCTGGTTCGGGGGGAAGGGGACAAGGAGGAAGTTAGGAAGGGGGACTTTGACTGTCATTAAATATGTAAATCACTCTTTAACATGGGGTTTTTTTTGCTGTTTTGTTTTTTGTTTTAAGGTTTCCAACCTTCTTACAATTCATTTCACTACCCAGCTCGTTCTATGTCACTATGGATACCAAAGAACCCTTTGAAAAACTTCGGCGAGGCGGGGGGTTTCTCAGCATACAAACAAAACACAGCGAAACACGGCGGCTTTCTGTTGGTGCTTCCATGACAAGTCCTGCCACGCGCCCCTCCCCTGCACCCACCAGTCCACAGAAGGGCAATTCATGTACAAGTCCAGTTCTCAGTCTCCCAGGATGAGTTTGACAAAAGAGGCGACGTCTGTCTCTTTGGATTCGTGCAGGGTGAAGAAAGGATGTTGCTGGGAAAGAAAAGAGAGGGGGAAAATAGAAGCCATTATTATTCATGATGCTGAGGACCAAACTAAAAACCTTTTCAGACAGTCTTCTAGACAAGGAAAAAGATTTTGTCACTAGCATCCGAATACTGGGCTTCCCATGTTTTGCAGCTGAGGCAAGTCAGGGAACTCAATGGGCCACTTCATGAAGGCTGCAGATCCGTGCTGCCCTCATGGATTCCCTCTAAACCCTGAGCCTGGCTGGGCTGCTTTCAAAGGAAGAGACAGTATTAAAAAGCATTGCCTTCATCTCTAGCACACCCTGCCATTTCAACACACACTGCAGTCTTCAAAAGCATTGTCTCCACCTCCAGCACATGGTGCCCTTCAGCACACGCTGGCTTGCAGCTCTGTGGTACCCCAGGAGAAGATGTGCTCCTTGTAATAGGGTGGTTACCCACTGCACCATGTGCCAGCTCCATCAGGAGCAAGGAAACCCTTGCAAGGAAGACTGACTGCAGTGGGTTTTCCATCAGCTTCCTGCTTTATCTGTGTATTTACCCTCTGGTGACTTTTGAGTCTCATTTCTTCCCTGCAATTGCTCATACTCGCAGCAGGAGATGGCTACTTTACCCCTAACCACCGCAAAGAGGAAAGCCATCCCGGCTGGAAAACCATCCGCAGCTGTATGTTTAACTACTTAATCGTGACCAACACGGGAAGACATCCTGCCAGAAAATCCTGCCTCCATTTCAGCACAAATGGAAAAATATGTGTAAGGAATCAAAAAACACAACCAAATGCCCCTTGACAGCAGCAGCAAAGCCCCTCTCTGCTAGCACCAGCCATGCAGTTTGCTACCAGGGGCTGCAACGCATCAGCTAAGATCATTCAACTTTCACCTGAGATCACCAAAAACACTGTTTGACACCCACTGTCCTGTCAGTTGATGGTATTTATTTGTAAGGAGGGTGTCAGAGAGAACCAAAAGGCAGCCAGGACCCCGTGGGGCTCACAGGTGACCTTAAATCTGTGCAAAATGATGCTGCGCTTCCCATGCGCAGGCTGGGGGAGCTCGGTTTGGTTCCTCACCCTCTCACTTCATTCCAGATTGGACAAATTGGGGTTTCCAGTGTTTTTCAAAGCTGCACCTCACCTCGGTCCCTAAGCATTGGCTATTCCAATGATCACCTATGGCAGTGGCCAAGTGGAGGGAGAAGAGCAAAGAAAAGAGATTTTCCAAGGTGGGCTTGAGTGGAAAGTTATCCAGTGAATAACAAAAGGCAGCTCTGAGCAGCTGGGAAGCGACCCAAAGACACACCAGCAAGGAAGAGGAAGCACAATTATGTGGGAAACAGAGCTGGAACGGGTTGAGGCAAGGATCCAGACATAATTTAAGGTCTCCCTGGGTCAGACAGTCACGGGAATTCAAGTGTCCTGAATGACTCTCGTAGAGATGGCCCAAATGGCCTGCTGTGTTATTATCCCAGCGCGATGCCACTGCTTCCACATCCCAGCTAAATCGCACCCAAGGCAGAGCTACCACAGTCTGGAAGCACCCACAAGCATGACATGGGTGTTAGTGGTGGCCTACAGCCCTGTCTCTCAGTGAACCCAACCCCTTTGCAACGACTGAGCCTGGTCACAGCACTAAACACCCTGTGCCAGGTCAATGTGCCCTATTTAATGTGCAGACCACCGGTCCTGCAGTAGTTTCATGCTCTACTTCACCTGGGGAAATGGGTTTTAAAATGAAATTAAGCCTCCCTATCAGTTTTCCTGATGCTCAAGATAGAACAGAGTCATATTTTCCATGAGAAACCTCAATTCCACAGGAAAGCAAGGGAGCAGCCTTGGTCTAAATGACAAGTCCAATCCAGTACCGCAACTTAATGCCGTAAGGGAGAGAGGAGGGAGAAAAAAAAACCCAACAAAACAGCAACCCTCAACCACAGGACCTCACAACATTCATGTCAGCCATAAAATACCACAGCATTGAGATACTCGGGAGAGGTGATCCAAGAACCTAATTCAATAGAAATGCACTCGCTTGCCAACGGGTATTAATGCTGCAACAGACGGAGCTGCTCCGGTGAACCTTCTTGATAAAAGGCCATTTGGCAAACTTCAGAAATTTGCTTAAAATATATACGTATTTATTCAATAATAATGAAAAAAAAGGGCAAAAATTAAAAAAAAGGAGCCATAAACCTCGGGCCTCCCTTTGTTTGAAACCAGTATTTGGGCAAACTGTGTGTAAATCAGATCTATATATAGTCTGATTGCATTACAGGGCCCAGCAAGAAATGCCACAGGAATTATTCATTGCTTACAACCACATGCAGAAAGCACATGGATTTCCAGTGTGTCTTGCAGCTAGAGAGCACCTTAAACCCTGGCACCTTCACATCACATAGGGCCCAACACCTCAGGGCAGAGAGGCAGCAATAAGGCTGACCCCTTGGATGACATGATGTATGTCCTGTGAGTTATGGGGCACGAGACACCAATGCCTGAGGGAATTCTGCAGCAGCTTCCATCCTTAACCCAGGAGATCTTCCCAGTGGCACTGGATGGGGTGGGCAGATACAGACAGGCAAGCATTTGGGTCAGGATCTTTAGAAATCACAGGTAGACACCTTCCTGCCTTTAGCAAGCTGTGTATCAGGTAGGGATAAAAAACAGACTAGATGCCTAGGGAGTGAAACACTGACTTCCTAAACTGTCCTGCTTTTTGCTGGCAACTGGGAACACCAGGATCAATACCAGAAAGTTGGGAGAGAGAAAGAGGCCATGAAACCTTGGATCTCCAGCAGAACAATCTCACCACAGACCCTGGTCTTGCCAGCTCCAGCCCAGAGCTCTGGCTGAGTGTACACCAGTGTCTGCACTGCTGTGAGTTCATCAGCAGTTAAGTGCATCTGACCTCAAAGCCCTGCACTGCCTTTACATTTCCCCCTGTTGTAAGCCTTTATCAGCATCTTCTTCCTTAGTTATTCCTCTGTCCATACAGCAAACAGTATCCAAGCAGCAGATGAAATTCAATAACCGGAATTATTAGTCACAGACTCGTCTCTGTCCCTAATATCCAGGAATTACTCTGTCCAAAAGGTCTCCTCTCCAAGGCACCACAACAGTGAAGCCTAGCAGGCTACTCAGCTCCTGCAGCCCACGTGGAGCATCCATGGTGCATGCATTTCACTTGGGCGTCTGAACCCATCACACAGATGATTTTATCCTCACTAACTGATTCTGCACACCCTCACTCTTGTCCCTTAGCACATTTGTTAACTGCTTTAACATATTTTAATCCCTTGATCTGACTGGAATAGCACCTGAATGAGATTTCAAAGGGCATCTCTGATTCGCAGTCATCCCCCCAAGCCCCCGAAGCGCCATGATTCTCTCATCTGTTATGGAAAAAGGAGATGCTAAGCATCCCAAATCACCAGTCACTATTAGAAACCCTGTCTTCAGCATCTCATTGTAACCCATCTCAGCTCCGAATCAACACGCTGCTTAATGCAGGCACACTCACCATAAGCTCTGGGTATGTTGGCCGCTCTTTGGAATTCTTCTTCAAGCTTTAATGAGACAAAACAAAAGAAGAAAAACATTAAGTGTTACATTCAGTATGCAGTTTAAGTGCAGCCATAATATTATACCATGGCAAAAGCAAGGTTTCAAGTCCTTGTAGAGTAAGCCCAACTACTCATCTGTATGTTAAGTGAACAGCTTAGGTCTTGAGGACACCTACAGCCTGCACACAGGACCGTATCATACACACAAGTGCAGCGAGCTCAAGGTCAAACAAGAGATCCAGGGACACCATATGCACCAGTTAAGGCACTGCCTGTTGCTGGGGGCCAGGTGCAATTGGGGTTTTTGGGTGCTATCCAGTAGGCCAGCAACTAAGGGCATGATACAGCCTCCAACCACTGATTGGGAGTGGTGACCGAGTGGCTCCAAAGCACGTGTACAACTGTTTGTTTATCGCTGCGCTGTTATCAGCGGGGACGGTTACATGGGACATCCTTTTTTTCTCCTCTCCTACAACAGATGGCTCTGGAGGGTTGTAGCTGGGAGTTATTTTGGTTCCCCTCCAGCAGAAAATAGCTTTTAAAAGACAGGACGTAATCTCTGCTCGCTTCCTGTCAGTGTATTTAGGGGAAAGACACTTGGAGCGACTTGAAAAGATCTTCACACACGTACACGTCGGTGGCGGGGAAAAGGTGTCACACTGAGCACAACAAAAGTGAGAACCTCGGCGGTGATAAGTCGCTCCTCTGCTGGGATTTGCCGGAGCCCAGAGGAAGCAGAGGACACACACTGAATAGATATTTCCTGCTTGCTGTGTGGAGCGGGCTCGTGTTTAGTGTCATGTTGTGAATGAACAGAGGAACCTAGTAACGATACGTGCCAATAGCGCCGAGCCGAAGGTACGGGATGTGTCACATCCTCTGAGCTCAAAAGCGGCCCAAGCCGCGATGCTAAGGTGAATTTGAAGGTTAGGTGTGTCCACAAGCAGGATTCGGGGATAATCCTCTTAATTTAGACCCTCTACAAACAAAAACACTTGCTTCCAGGTTACTAATACCAGGAAATCTGGTGACAAGTTACTGAAATCAATATAAATCTTCAGGAATGAGGAGCCCTATTTGGATGTGATCCTGACTCAGCTGTCCAGGGAACTTCCCTGCAGTGGCTACAGGTAATCAGACTTTTGCTGCCCCAGTGGCTATGATTCACTCTGTGACCTCCTGAGACTGAGAAGACCTAAGCCAGGCCGACCACAGCACACTGAGTTGATGTGACCTTGATCAGCATCAGACGAAACTCTCAGACTCCCATGACACAAAACTGCAGCCAAAATTCACTTTTCCAAGCCCATGCCACTCCACTGGTGCCAAGGGATCTTCAGTGATCCTTCAGGATGGGATTTCCAAGGAGAGGAGCCTCCACACGCTCCCTAAGGCTTTCAAGATGACAGCGGGGTCATTCTCACTGCAGCCATCACGATATCTTACTCCTAAATCAGCCCACGGCTATAGCTGCAAGACGCCGTGCTTGCAGAAGCAAAACATTCAGTGGGGAACAACAGCCTGCCTGGCACAAACAGGCGGCTTTGCAATAACAAGCAGTGAGCCAGCAGCACGGGAGAAAGGCAGCTGGTCCAAAATCACAGCGTGGGCCTCGCAGAAAAACAGCAGGCATTTTGAGAGAGGGTTTTTTCCAAGCTCCCACCTCGCGCAGACACAGAGCAGTGTGGGCACGGGCAGGTATTCCCCAGCGCAGGTCAACGTGCGGCTCATCACAAGGACCTCAAAGACACGTTTGAACAAGACTCCAAGGAATCCGCACGTCCTGGGGCAGGAGTGGCTGATAATCCCCTTCCTGGGTCGCAGCAGAGCCATCCGGGCTGGGTGCCCTGATGCTGGCGGCTCGGGAGCAGTCTCACATGTCTCTGTGTTTGTGGATGTGCCGTCCTCCCCTGGCCACCACGCAACCCCCCCATCCACCTGCCAACTTGGCAAGCCACGGATGGCACCGCAGCGCCTGGAAAATAGAAGCGCCTCCCAGGCGGTTTCCAGGGAAGCTGCAGGGAGAAGCAGTCAGGAGCCGCGGGGCCGCTGCCAGCTCTCTGCTGAACCGTAGGACGAGGGCAGCTGCGAGCCTCCTCGGGCGCTGGGAGAGCCTGTGCTTCCATGCAGCGCTCGCAACCTCCAGACAGCACGCATCTGCTCCAGCCCTTTTCCTACGCCGCAGCCAAACTCTCCCGCTGCTTCCAGCTCTGAGTCCCATGGCGAGCAGCGCAGCAGCCGGAGGGCCCTGGTAGCTGCTAACGGGGGCCACCATGGGGCTAACTCTGCCCTTAGAGCTGTGTATCCCGTGGGAGCAAGAGGACGCAGCCATCCTGTGTCCTACTCCTGTCCCTGCACCAGCCATGGGATATGAGGGATCCATCAGACCTCCATGCCTGCATTGTCCATGCTGCCAGCCCGGCCGCAGACACCCCATGCTGATGGCAAATGGATTGAGAAAGACTCCTAAACCCCTTCCTCCTCTATGTCCCCTCCAGGCCTGTCCTTTATCACCTCAAGCAGGGAAGATGCCCACAGCCACCATCACCAGTGCTCTGGCAAAGGCACAGCACCAAGCCCCAGCCTGTCCCTCATGGATCAGTGGGGACATGAAGGTCCATCCCTTCCCCTGGGGAGGATGCTTTGATCAAAAGCTTGGGTTGTACCCTAAGGGGGTGCCTGTGGGGACAGGGATGCCGGAGGCACCACATCCGCCCCCCAGCCTGGCAAAGGAGCGCAGGGCAAGGCTGGGTAAGGGCAAGGGAGCACTTTACCATTGAGAGGTAAAATCGACGAACTCCGCTGAGAACTTCTCCGCCGGGAGCTGCGGCGATGGCTCCTCCACCACCTGCTTGAGCTGCTGGAATGGCGTCCCCCAGGAGTCGTAGGGAAAGCGCAGGATGGCCAGCTCGATCTGCGGAGACACAGCCAAGCCTCACCCCACAGCATCTCGCCCTCCTTCCCCATACATTCCCCATGTGCCCATCGTGGGTTTGTTATACAGGCACAAACACATGGTGTTTCCTCACCCCACTTGGCCACCACATCTTGTTTAACCTCTTCCATACGGGACAGGGTGGAGGAGACCCATCAGTCTCCGTATGCAATACTCTGCTGTTAGGCTTGGGAAAGGTTTGAAGTTAAAACCAATGCCACATCTCAAAGGATAACTGTGCTTTCAAATGGCTTTGCAAGCAGATGGATTCCCCCTAAACGCTGCGTGGGAGATGCCACCCATCCCTCCTCTTCTGAGGGGGACTCTGCTAATTGCAAAGTGTTGGGAGTGTTTTTCTGTGCTTTGAAAGCCAACCTGCTCCAAGGCGACAGGCGCCTTCGCCTTAGCCCATGCTGCCATCTCCCGGCAGCCCATCGCCACCACATCAGGGCTGTCCCCACCAGTGGCACCCCACAGGCACAGCCGAAGACGGCGCTCCATCCTGCTCCCTTCCAACCCTGTGGAAAGCTTGTTTCCCATTCCCACCCCATCACCTTCCCAGGGAACCGATGCCAGTGTTAGGGGGGGTATGGGGAGGAAAATGAACCCAAAAGCAACATCGAACCCTTTTGGCTTCACTGTGAGCCTCCAGGTCACCCTACCATTGTGATCCCCAGGCTCCAGATATCAGATTTGACGCTGTAACCCTTCTGGTTCAGCTCCGGGTTAATTCTTTCAGGCTGTGAACAGAGGCAAAGGTGGCTGAGGAACAGGGATGGCACCAGTGCAATGCCATCGCCCAGGGCTCACCGACCACAGATGGGTCTCTGAGGGTGACAGACCAGGACCACACCTGGCCCATGCCACCAGCTTGCTCCCTTGGTCGTGATGGGGCCAGATCTAGTGCCATGGTGAAACGGGTCACCAGAAGCAGATGGCACCTGCTCCAGGGATTGAGGTGTTGGAGCTCAGGGAACAGGGAGCAAGCCCCAGTTCTCCTGCCCTGTTTTCACCCTGTGCAAGTGCTGCACAGAGGGTGAACCCTGAACAGCAGCTCCCAGGAGGAGTCTGAGGAACCCAATCCCTGGGGACTGCTTTTCCTCCCCGATGGAAAGTACTATTGTCCCCACAGGGCAAACAGCAAAAATGCAGCACAGAGTAATTACAGAGCCTTCCCCAAGGTCACCGGGACATGATAAGGCAGCAAGAAGCTGTGCCCAGGAGATATGATCTGACCCAGGAGATCTGCCTCTCCTCTCTGCCCCTTTATGAGTAACTTCAGGGATTCATCTTCCAAAACAAGTCCCCAGAACACATGCCGGGGACTGATCCTTCCCCCTTTCGGATGACCCGATGCCCAGGCTCATGTTCCTCAGCCCTCACACGCAGCTCAACTTACAGCCATGTAGGGTTTGCATCCTGCATCCATGGTTTTAGCAACCGAGTCGACGAGGTAACCGCTAATGCCAAAATCGCACATTTTCACCTGCCCCTGCGTATTGATCAACACGTTAGAGGGCTTTACATCTGCAAGAAGGAACACATACCACAGTCACTGTCACGCACGGGTGGCTGTGCCAAGCCAAAACAAGCCAGAGAGCTTCCTAGCAGCAGAGGGCACCAAAGGTGTCCAGGCAAAGCCCTGCGCTCTGGGCACGCCAGGAACCCACTGGCTGCGGATACTGCAAGTTCAGGTGACAGTCTCATGGCCTGTCATATGTTCTGCAAGTGGCCCTTCCCTTGCAGACTCCTCTCTCTGATCTGGGGAAGCAGGAGGTACCCCTGCACGTAACCATCCTGCATACCCCATGGATATATCCCATGTTTGCAGGGGAACAGCTCATCGGGGCTGAGGGCATCTGCAGGGGATGTCTGGAGCTCTGGCAAGTCCCCAGGTGGATGTGGTCCAAGGAAAAACCCATAGGGAAAGGATGAGGAATGGCCAGGAAAGGGTGAACAGGAGCAGCGGGGAAGGAGGGAGCAGTAAAATAAGACAAGGATCAAGATTTCAGAAGTGGCCTCTAATTTTAAGGATACCAAGCTTGCAGGCAGTGTGAACAGCAGCAGGCGTGTGGGTGCTCCACACCTTATGGAAATCAGGCCAGTGTCTCATCTATTTATTACTGCCAGATTTATCCGCTTCCCATCACGGCCTTATAATCCTTGGTGCGTTCACACTTGCATCACGCTCATGAAGGCAGTTAAAATCACCAACAGAAAGGGAAATTAGGGCTTAGGAAGAAGCTCTCTGATATCCATGAGAGCATGGAGGTGCTCTCCTGCACAGCAGGCAGTCACTCCCTGTGAGGCTAATACCAGAGGAAATCTCAGCACAGTGCAGGTAGCACTCTCTTCTCTTATCCCAGCACTGATCCTCAAAAGGCAGCAATCCTTCCCCTGTTGCCACCCAGGGATAAGAGGTCTCTTCCGCAAGAGGGTCCTCTGTCTACATGGGATAGACTATTAAATAGCAGTGCTGAAACACCATCTGAATCTGCTTTTGAGACCTGCCTATTCCAACTGGATGATTTATAGTTCATTAACATCTGCTCTCTAATCAGCATTTTGCATTCAAAAGCCTCAGGTTGCTGAGCTCCTCACCCATCTGTTACTATGCTGAAATACGACAATTTTCAGTGGAAATCAAACAAGTAAACAGAAATCCAGAAACCGAGCAGCATTTCCCACCTACTGTCAAGGATACGGAAGGCAGAAACAACCCCCAGCCACACGCAGAATGTACAGTAGGTGTCTGCAGGATAGAGCTGAACTCTGCTCCTTCAGATGCTCCTCTCCCCGGCAGTCACACTCTCCAGAGAGGGCTTTTTCCGCCACATGACATCGAAAATGACCCTTTCAAACTAAAGGTGTCAAGCAGCAACACTGCAAATTGGTTTCTTGCTAAGAGTGTTCACAGCATCTTTGAGATGCTTTAGAGGGGAAAACGTCAGAAGAGTTTTAGGAGAGTATTTACGACTTCACTTGAGGCTACTTTAGGTACCACGCTCTTCTGCCCCACCAGTGCTTAGGGAAGCTCACAGAAGGGGATGAGGATGGTTAGATCCCTACATGAGGCATCACTCTGGCATCTCCCACTGCACATCAACATGGAGCCATCAAGCTAGGGGAGAAGCCTTCTCAAACCTGATCCAAAGCCCACCAAGGTGAGAAGTATGGTTTAATATTGCAGAGGTGCTAAAGCAGACCGTGGATTTAGACTGTGCATTAAGGAAATGCAACCCGGGGGGAAAGAGCCCATTCTCTGCCTGCACCATCAGGGAAAACATGGGAACCAGCATGGAGTTTTCAAAGAGCAAACACAGCTGATACTTCCTCTGAGTAGGTTTTGCTACTCATGAGGTGCTGGGGAATATTTTTGCTGCCAAAAGCCCATTTTCTCTTAGGTATTTTGGGAGCCCTGTGCCTGGGCACAACCCAGCCCCTGCAAGGCTGCAAGCACATGGCGCAGCGCAGACAGACACCAGCATGGTCATGGCTGTGTGCTTGGCTCTTACCTCTGTGGATCACGGAGAGCTTACTGTGTAGATGTTCTAGTGCTTTTACGATCTGAAACAACAAATCTGGAGTGAATCACAGCTGGCAGCACCATGAGGAGGAGGAAACGCTATTGGGCATCACCCACCCCATCCTCACCAGACCTGCTTGGAGGAAAGGAATTACATCTCCTGCAAGTCCTGCACCATCACAGCAGCTTGAGGTGATGATGGGTACCCAGGAATCTCCCAGGACCCTAATGAGAAGGCAAAAGAGCTGCAGGGCCCTCCCACACCTAATGCTGTGCCACCTCTCAATTATGTCTATAGGCACACTCTGGCTTACTCATGGCTTATACAAACCATCACCACAGGACCAGATGCTAGAAACCAGCTAGGAATGCCCACATGGGCTGGCCCATGGACCATGCTCTTCCTGATGCAAATACAGCAGGGAGCTTGGGTCATATAGAACTTGGCTTAGAAGATAAACACCCTTTCCCTTCCTCTTCACAGAGACACTAATCCCACAGCTAATACTAATAACTAATACTCACAGAGACAGCTATTTTCCCTAGGATGTCCTCAGGAATCGTCAGGCCTTTGTCAATGACATGTTTGTAGAATTTGTCCAGTGAGGTATCCATCAGCTCCATGCAAATCCACACATCCCCCTGGAGGATAAAGCAAGTGAACAGCTGCTTACTGGAATGAAGCATCCTTTCCTTTCACGTGTAAAGGTCTCCTTTGGCACTTGCCCTTTGCTGGCCTGTTTGCCTTTTCCCTGTCTTTTAAAACTCACTCAGTAAAACTCTACTGGGCTTTCTCTTCCCCTCTCCTCCAGCTGGAATTAAGTGCTGTTCACCTTCATTACCATTTAGAGGTAGTGAAGTGATTTAGGAGCCCAGAAAGTTATCGGGACTGAGGCTCCTATATGTTCAAGTCACTGCAATTGCTCAGACAGGACAAGTTCAGCTCTGCAGAGCTATGCTTAAAGCTCCTCAATACATCTTGTCTATTTTTCCTCCATGTGGCTTTCACATTGCAAGTCAGGACAACATTAACACTAATGGACCAGGCTGTGTGTTGGTGTCCTCAGCACCGGCCATCCCCATCACTCAAACTCACCACCAAGCCCCAACATCTCAGCACAGGGATCTCAGACATGCTTGGCACTAGGGCTTGGCTGCCTCTTCCTCACATGGGACTACTTCTCTCTTTGCTCAGCACGAAGTAACTGCATGTGACAGATCCTTAGGCCAGGACTAAGCAAATCCATATTGCACCACATATAGATGGAGATTAAACCCCTGGCACTTGGTGGGGAGTTTAGGCATGGGAATTCAGAGCCTGGGAGCAGCTCCAGTCTCCCAGGGGCAGCACAGCTGATCTCCAGGATGCCATACCTCTCGGAAAAGTGCCCCGTAAAAGGTGACAGTGAAGGGGCAATCTACCGTCCTCATGGAGATATCCAGGTCCATCAGTAACCTCTTCTGCTCCTGGCTGTTCACTGTGGCTCGGATCCGCTGGAAGACGAAGCAGTTTAGCATCGGCTGTGAGCACCTCCATGCCACAGCCATACCCATGCTGTGCCTTGACATCACTCCTTTACTCTTTTAGCACACCTCTTTGTGTTACCCTTTTTGACACCTCTCAGCCCGAACTGCAGGTGATTTTGCTCTTCCCTGCAAACACCACTCTTTGCAACAGCCAAAAGTCACTGTGGCTTGGGAGAGGAGAAATGCGCAGGAATCAGCTTCTAGGCTGGTGAAGCCTGTGACTTTCAGAGATGCTTTGGACATCTATTTACATCAACAGACTTGGGTGATGTCTACTGCATGAGAGACGGCTCCAGCCCTGCACCCAGACCCCTTAGCTTTGGAAAATGGGCATTTCCCTGTCTCCCAGGGAAAGAAAATTAACTTAAGCAATTAAATTTATAGTACGCTATTCTGTACCATTACAGTTAATGTGCAGAGCCCTGAATCTGCATTAGAAAATATGTACATTTACAAAATGATGGCAAATAGCTTGTAAAGTCCTAGTGAAAACAGGAATATTGTAGACATAGGTGCATGCACTGCAACGCTGGAAACACACGGAGCATCATGCGGTTAAAACACACCCCTTTTCTTGGTTAAATGGCCCAAATCTACCTCATCACTCTTTACCCCTGTGCAGAAAGAGGATTTCATAAGGAAAGCAGTAAATCTCAGTAAAGGCATGCATCAGAACAAGCGACATTAGACATGTGCACCAATGAGAGCATCCACGCACAACAACTCAGACAGAAAGCACCTCGGAGGCTCACTCTACCTTCACTGCCATGATCTGCCCGCTCGGCATGTGCCGCATCTTCTCCACCACCCCGTATGCACCTCGTCCCAGCTCGGAGATGGGCTCCAGGTCATCAGCTTTCACCTCAAAGTTCTGTGAGGGAATGAAACATCAGTGCAAAGGTGGCTGCTGTGCATATCTGTTACGCAAGGAGTGAAAGAGCCCTGAAATCTAGCCCTGCTTGGCAAATAAATTCACTTCTGTGCATCCCCCTCCCTATCGGTGTTCACGAGGATAGAAACAAATCATGGTCCTCAGAGGCTGCCAGGAGATTAACTACAATGTGGTAATTAGCAGAGTTCTGATGAGGATGTGCTTCCTAATGGCACAAGCAGGGAGCCTGTATTGAGGAGCATCCTGAGCATCGTGGGCGCAGGAAGGACCATCCCATCGATGGGATGCTCCCCTCAGCACCCGAGTGCTTATTCCACCCCCTTCAGCTGCAGTACTTTCAGCTTCCTCATCCTCAAAGGGCTGGGATGGAAAACACCACCTCAGATTCACCCCCAGGAATCACCTTGAGGCTTTTATTCCTTCTATCCTCCTACAAACAATCACGGAAGTATCTCTATGTTTTTTGAGGCCTGTAAAAGCTTAATTCTGCAGACCTGCAGACAGGCCACATACCAATGACTGTGCCCCATTTTTAAACCATGGATGATTTATTTTCTCTAGCGTTCGAGATCTCTTTCTCCTGGCCTTACACAGAGGGTGACTTTGTTTGCAGCCCTGCATCCTAACCTGCCCTTCTCCCTTCTGCCGCGATATTGTGCAGCAGCTCTATTTTTTGCTTCATATTATTTTTGGATGTTTAAGAAGTGCCTTTGCTCCTAAACGCAACCATTCCGTTTGCCCAATGCGCGACCACATCAGTCAATCATCCTACAGAAAGACGCCGGTTATAATGAACCGATTCACGGTGCAAATCCCACATCGCTTTCTGCCGGCACAGCAGAAATAAACCCTGCAGCCTCAGCTGTGCTGGCTGGGGATGCCACAGCGTGCAGGGCCACACACTGCATTACTGTGTCATTCCCTCGCAGCTCCATCGCCTGCAAAAGGAGCCCTGGCTCACAGTTATGTGCAACAGGAGGGATTGAAGCATCTCTGCCTGCCTGACACTGCTCCCACTGTTCAACGAGACCCTCTCCAAAGAAGCACTTTGATTCTCTCAAGGCCACTCTTCAATTTAGCAGCAAAGGGAGAGGAGGGAAAGTGGCTTTCCCTAGGGATGAGGGGGGAGTGTAGAAAGGCTGGTGGAGCACATCCTAAAGCAACTTGGCTGGATGGTTAGGGAAATGCAAACCACTGGATGCCAGTCCCTCCGAGATAGCCACATATCTGTGTCTGTCAAGCTGAGCTCTGGGTTGTACGAGTGCTTTTCTCTTTGCACCACCCCACATGGGCTCTCTGCCTCTGTGCATGGAGCCTTTTTGGAGTGCCTGAGCCTTTCCCCATCCCTAGGACTGCAGGGGAGAAATGATTTTCTTGGAGCGGGCGCCTGCTCTAGCAGCAGGCATTTTCCCTGCCTCAGTGCTGCACCATTTTGCTCCAGAGGCATCTCACACTCTTTCCACCTTCCTGCCCCTGTTCCATGCCAGGGAAAATACAAAAATCCAAAATGAAAGGAAAGCATCCCAAGATACAGGCGTTAGAAACCACTACTAGATTAGCATTTCACTCCATGCATTAACTCGCCGATGCCAAGGCCTATCTTTACACCTAATACATGTACTGCCTAGCTTTAAAATGCTTTTATGAATGCTGCTGTGCTGTTTTCTCCTCTCAAAATAGCTGTTTTGTTCTTCCCTGCTATTTTCTCAGACCATCAGGTGACTGGTTCCCATGCTGTCACAAGGATTTGCTTCCAGGACAGGAAGATCTACCCTGAGTTAGACTCCTGATGAGACGGCCTTCAATATTACCAAAGGGAAATACGTTTATTTAAATCCCTTTAAATCAGCAAAGGAACTGATAGAGGAGAAAAGTCTGCTGTTAGCAATCCCCTCATTTTATGACTGTTATTTCCAGGGGATTGGCTGCAATAATAAGGCAAGGAAGGAATTTCCCAGGTGGAAAGCATGAAGGGGATGGAGGAGTCACAGGATGCAAACGGTGGGTGTTCGGGGACACGTTCATCAGAGCAGTGACAACCCGCAGGTCACTCTTCTCAGCTTTTACTCATCCAGCAACTGCCTTCCATTTCAAGCTTTTAATAGCTGGTGTTTATTAATCTGCCTTCTTCTGTGGGGCTGAAGTTAAGCAATCCCACAGGCAGCCAGCACCAGAGCAGCCAGCCCAGGGTGGTCACCGGTCCCCAGAGGTCTTCTTCTCACCACAACTCCTAGTCTTACCTCCTCACCAATAGAGATGCAAGCTTTGGAGTCTAGATCTCTGGGTGGCCTGCAAAGGAGAAAAGGGAAAAGATGTTAAATGTTCCTTACAAAGATCTTGTTTCCCTCAATGGGTAAATAACAACCTCCATGGCCGTCCCCTCACACCTTCAGGCCAGCAGCCCTCACAGCCTAAGCAGTCTCCTAGCTTTGCAGGATCAACAGATAGAGCCAACATCCACAAAGTCACCCCAAAAAGGGGTCAGGAAGGAAGCTGCTGGAATTGGCTTTTCTCACATCCAACTTCCCCATGCAGGAACCCAGAGAGATTCATTGCGAAAGACAAGCCAGGTGCAAGCACCAAATCTCTGCCAGCCTGTATGAAAAATGGATTAAACGGGCATAAAGGTCTAAAACCCCTGTAAATGATTACCCAAGTCACACAGCATGGGTTAACAGGCTAATAAAAGCCAGTCCTCAAGGAAGCAAGGAGAGCCAAGCAGGCAGGAGTTGCACAAATGGCCTTAAAAACACAGGGATTTCTTTTGCAAGGCTCGGTATGTAGGGAAGGGGATGCATTTTTATGCCCTGACCAAATGGATGTTATTCAAACTGGGTGGCCAAAGTGCCACACCAATTAAAATTGGGTGCCTATTATGATTTTTCCTTTTCCTGGGCACATCATTAAGCAGCACATGAGACATGTCCACAGGCAGTGATGGGTTAGGGCGATGGGCTGAGATCCCGTGGTTATACCTGGGGCTACAACAGAAATACAAGGACTGTTAAGCTATTATCCTCCCTAACGATGCCAGTATTAACCCAGGCATTTTGCCCCTGTTCCTTGCGAATGGTCCCTGTTATCCGTAAGGGTCCCTGTTATCCATAAGGGTCCCCGTTATCCAGACCTACAAGCTCAAGCCCTCACAGCGCAGGCACCGCAAAGGCTGGAAGGCAGCTGGGGCTCGTGGTTTTCTTTTCATTCTGCCTTAGTGCTTGCAGACTTACGTGGAGCTTGTCTGTGGTTGCTCGAATGCTTCTTTAGGAATTTTCAGCCCAGGGTTTCTCTTCTTGCCTGTGAAACAAGAAAGAGGCAGAATTAAAGAAAGGCGCTTTCCCGTTGCTGTTGTTGGGTTGTTTTGGTTTCATGTGCAAAACACAGCTTGTCTATATTTGTTGACCTTATTTAACATAAATGCCCGGCCAGGCTGGTGGTGCTGTCTCAGGGCACAGAGTTCAAAACATAAAGTGCCTTTGTTCAGTAACGCTTCATTTAGACCTGCAAGGTCTGGCTGCCAACTTGGTACAGAAAGCAGGCAAGGGCTCTGGCAAAGGCAGGCCATGTGAAAATGCAAAGTGAAAGGTATTTCTCCTTCGTCAGCCCTACCCACGTAGAATCCCTTAAAACGTTCCTTAGATTTTAAACCATTTCAGATACAGAACGGCAAACCCTGGCAGGAATAAAGACCTTTTTGAAGCTGAAAGTGCAGAATCAGATCCTGATTCTGTTTAAATGGATGCTTCACCTCTTGGTCATTAAAGTTATGCAAACCCAGCAAAAAACTAAAGCAGAATTAAGTTTGCAGGCTTCAAAGCTGTTTGTTTCTGTTCACACTGACCAGCCAAGCTTCTCTGTGCTGGACGAAGCTCAAGCTCTGAAGTAGTTCAAATGCAGGCTCTCCTGTAAAGGGGGTCCAAGCCGGCAGACACAAGAGCCAGGCAGACTAGAGAAACACAAGAACCTTTTTATGGCTAAACATATACAGACACATTTCAGCACGGGGTTTTGAATTCATGGGTAAAATCACCTGGAAACATAAGTCATGTCACCAAAACCCCAAGGTAAACATCTGGCTGTCTGCCTGTGTAATAAAACCCCTGGTCCCCAAAAAAGGCACAAGCATCTAATTTAGGCATTAAACATTTTTAACCTAACAATTTATATCAATTACAGTCTTTCTTTTAAGCATCAGTTTTACCCTCTATTCCTAACACTCTCAAACTTTACCTACACGTGTTTGAGTTTGTTTTTCCTCTTGACACAAACTCATGCCAATAGGTGTCTGTGCACCCCAGTGCTGGAGGGATGCTAGTTCAAAGTGCAGGCACCCAGAACTGAAAATGACCTTTCCAAAGCAATTAGTCAATTCAGATGGACAATTCTTTCTCTTCCCAATCTTTCCTTTTTGCCTTGTCTGCTCCAAAAGACAGGATCTTTTAGAAAAGAGTCATTCCAGGATGAGACAGGCGGCAGCAACCCAGCTGATACCTCGTGGGAAAAGCATTTATTGCAAGCCATGGTGCACACTCGCTGTTGGGATCAGAAATCAACAGAGCTGCAAATTTAGGAAAGAAAAGGAAATAAGAAAAGACAATTCTCTGCTCCAAGGAGCTTCCAGTCCAACACAACAAAAGGCAAATAAAAGAAGGAAGGTCACCCAGAATCATACAGAATAGGTCTTGGTTTTCCCAAGAGGTAAAAGCTGGTCTGTAAGGAAGTAAGTGATGCTCTCAGAACAAGTGGAGGCATTTCTATTTAGCAGAGATGTTATTTGCCCCTTTTCCTTCTGGTTTTCTCACTTATACTACAAAGGTCTCTAGCAGGCACAACAGAGAAGCAGGCTCTGCTGTGCCACATGCTCCAGATACCCTTTCCCAAGCCGTGCCAATGTACATCGGACCTGACAGGATGCTAAATGGGTACCGGTGTTCTTGATGTTGTCATGTTTTGGCTAAAAATGGAACCTCAAAAACACAGGTCTTGCAGTGCAGGCAGACAAAACCCCTGTTTCTCTGGGAAGGCCCAAGTCTGCCATCCCAGTGACATCCCTGTCTCCAACAACCTGCCTGCATTCTCTCGCAGTTCAAGCAAACAAGACAACCACGGGCACAAGAAAGCAGTAGCTCCATCCTGATTTTGGACATGGAAATCAATACACAGAGATTTACTGACTTGCCCATGCAAGCAGGAGCTGCCTCTTTAGCTCCAGAGCTGCATTCCCATTAACACTCACCAGCCATCTCCTGACATACATCCACACTACCACAATGACATTCACACAGCAACCAAAATCAGAAGACAAACAAGTGAGGATTTCCTCTGTTCTTGCCTTTTGACTTTTTTTTTCCTTTATGGATTCGCTTGCGCGATCCCATGCGCTGCACCTGAACCTCAGGAACCTGCTCTCAGCAACGGGAACATGAAAACAAACCTACTGGAAACAAACCTAAGTTGAACGTGAACCAGAGCCGGTTGCACAAGCATCCAACGCTCCCATGGGTCACGAGCAGTGTCAGCAGAAGGAGCAGGGAGCAAAACACCAAACCCAAATAAATGTTAAAAGCCTTCCTCCTCCTGGCGAAACAGAGCCTGCACTTTGGGGAGTTTATTTTCCTTGCCTCTTCTTCACGGATTACAATATTTTGAAACTCTGCCATTTTTTTGAGGCACAATCTGTTCGCGTCTTCCAGTTGCCAAGACACAGACACAGTTTAACGCTCTTTGGGGTTTTCTTCTCAACAAAGAAGAAAGCAACAACAGCAGCAAGGATAAATCATGGATCTCATGACGGCACCAGAAGGGATTGCAAATGGGAATTTCCACAGCCAGGACTCTCACCAGCAGCTCCTGTGGGATAAGCACTGCAGGGCAATGCGGGCACCTCCGCACCGGCTCACCACATGGGTATTTAATGTAAGTCTTGGAATGTGATCAGGCAATTTCATGCCTCTCATCTGGATCTGGTGAACTGTTGGAGCTCCTTTTATTACAACGTGCAAAAACCTTGACTTTTGGTCCCTCCAAACCTTCTGGGGACAGTGTCTGCAAGTGTCTTACAGGAGCATCCACAATCCTGGACATGGCACTGCCTTACAACCAGAAGCATGCAGCAGTGCTCAGCATCACTCTACATCAGGGTGCAGGAGCCGGGGTCCCCCCTTGCCCCACCTCCATGGGTCCAGGTCACACGTGCTTGAGGGAGCTTGAGGGAACTCTTCCCCAAAGGCAAACAGTGATGCTTAGAGGCCTTTTTATCTCTAAGAAAAACCCATAATTGGAAGCCCCAAGATAAGTTCTCTTCAGTATTAACTGCCAAGCAAGCACCTCGCTGTCAAAATAACATCCCCCAGTTTACCATAGCAGACACTGGCTTTGAAAGATGACGCTGTGTTAAATTGCAGTTTGCAGAGAAAGTCATCTGTACAGGAGCTCAGGATGTGGAGGCAGCTTAATAACATACAAAATTGGATGTTACCTGTTCCATCCACCAGAAAACCAGTATTTTCCACAGTGTTTCTATGAATCATTATTATTATTTTTAGCCTTGTTTCCTGAAGAAAATCACCACGTGCGTGCTCCTTGTGGCAAGTGTAAATCCACTGGCCAATTTCAGCCCTTTCTGACGAAGAAATTGAGCTTTTGGAGATTGCAAAGCTGATAAAAATAGGTGTTTAAATAAAGAAGTCCCCAGCTCAAAGGAGGCTGAAGCACAGAAGGAACCCATGGCACACACCAGGCATCCACGTTCAAGATGTGCAGAAGCCGTGTGTGTCTCATACACCAAAATAACAACACAAGACTCAAACCTAAACCAGATAGGGTCTGAGCATCAGTGCAGGGGGTTCACTGTAACTCCTTGGGATTTACAATAAGGAAAACCCCAATGACCTATCATACAAAGCATGATGTCTAAACGTGGCTCCTTTTGCACAAGGTTTGCTATCCTGGTTGATCAACAGATGGGATTGTACATCTGTTCTCCAGCATCCAAAAAGTCTTTCTAATAGCAAAGCAATTACCCACAGAGAATACTGAACTGACTGTGATAGAGATGTTGCCACCTTTAAAAACCCTCTATGCTTTCTTGGCACTGATGAGGACAGCAGGGACACCAGGAGTTACCTGCAGCACCACCACAGCCTGCCCCATGCATGGGCATAAGCTCATCAGCCCGAGAAAGTCAATGCTGAGAACAAAGTGAGGTCTGAAAGCAGAACTGTAACAGGAGAAAGAAAACCTGACTTAATGAAAACACATTAAACACTTCCCTGTGAAGGTCTTAAACCCAGTTCCTGAGGGAGGGGGGGAAAGTTTAACTTCCAATGGACTTGTTAACCTTTTCCCACCAGCACTGACAGAGCACGCATGGAGATTAATGTTGCTTAGCCCATTCCAATTAGGGCAGCGTTAAATATCGATACTGAAAATTGACACTTCAAAGTTTCCCACCAGAAGGGTAGGAAGCGTAACAGAGAATAACAAAGAAAGGGAAGACAGAGGAATTCACTGCCCACATACGCTGTAACACAAACCTTCACTTCTGAAGGAAAATCCCATTCCCCAGTCTCCAGACTTCTCATTGCAGTCAAAAACTTCTTATGATATAATCCAAAGTAAATGGTTCCTTGCCACAAAAAGCTCCTATTTCCATCAAAGGATATTAACCAGTTCTGTCATTACCACACTTTATTATTAAAGCTGTGTTCAGTAGCCATATAGCAACAATTTCTTTCAAATAAGGCTTTTTAGCATATAATTTCACAGGTGGAAAAGCCTCTTTCTCCCACTTTTGTAAGAGACAAAAGTGTCTGGTTATTACTCCTGCCTTTCCTAAGGATTTCTTGTCTCATATCTTGAAAGGTTTCGAAAGCCAAATGATCTGCTCTTCCCCTATCAGCTGTACTCAACTCCACCTGGAGCAACTGCTGCTGTAGAAGATGTAGAAAGCTCCTATTTAACATCAGTTTCACACAGGATCACCAAAGAGGGGGAATAAAAGTATTTTTTATCAAGTATTAAAGAGCATCTCACAGGTTTATTATTTATGCTTGCAAATTATTAAAGGTGAAGGCACACAGAGTGGTTACAGCTGATACAAACCCATCTTAACAGACATGAGAGTTCAAGGGCGGGTGAAGGACTTGCCCATCACCTTGGTTCCTCAGTGATCTGCCCCAGCAACAGCTTGTCCTCAAGGTGAAAAGCCTTTAATTCTGCCCAGATGAGTCTCCACCAAGGAACTCCACAAGGATGCCCCAGCCAAGCCTAAGAGCAGGAAGGCCGGGTGCATTCCT